TTAACAACTGGCTTTCCCACTCAATTATGTTCTTTGCCCGAAGCTTGTCTGCAGTGTTTACAACCTGGCCTCTGACTCCAGCTGCACCCTTTGCGCAGAAAACAACATAAAAGCAAACGTATTTAAGAGACTGTTGCAAGGTTTGAAAAGCGTGGTGTGAAATGATTTCTCCGTTGAGTAGTCCTACCCAGTGTCCCCGGGGGAGATGCGTCCCCACCCCGTCGTCCGTGCTGCTGTCCCAGGTGGCCGCCTTCCCGCGCCCTGCACCCCTGCCTTCACCCCTCCAGCTCTGCTGCCTACCCTTCCAGGCCTCCGTGTGTCTGTGGAGATGGGGGCGCCGCAGAGACGAAGGGCTCGGTGTCCCCCCGGTTTCCTTGTTGGGGTCCCACAGAGTCCAGAGGAAGCACCAAGTGGCCGGCAGGCGCTCGGTTTCTGGTGTGTGAGTGGGAACGCCTGTAGCACCTGCCTCCCTGAGGGTTGCTGGGAGGAGGCGGCGAGAAAGGGTGTGAAGGGCCAGCCCAGCCCTGGCGCGTGGTTGGCGCTCAGTGACTGTCATGATCATCATGCTCTTCCAAGCCAGCAGTCCCAAGGCGGTCCGTGTGGTGTGTGAAGTTCTGCCTTTACCGTTAACGAGCTGGGTTGTTTCATCCTTACTTCTTGCCACAGAAGGCTGCTGGGAGAGCCCCTGAGCTGGCGCACGCGAAGCTGCTGTTCAGTAGTAATTGCTGCCGGCTGGGGACATTTTCTAGGTATTTCATACACGTTATCTCACATGATATTGGGTGAGAAAATAAAGACTCAGAGAGGTAAAGCAACTTTCTCAAGGTCACACAGCCTCAAAAGATAGAGTTGAGACTAAACCTAACACTTTCAGACCCCAAAGCAGATTCCTTGACTGCTCCGCCCTCCGGAAGAGGGGTTCTCCCTGGGGAGGTGAGACCCCCTGAACCCCCTGAATGTGCATGGAAAATGTGATGTGTTACATTTTTCTGGAGAAAGTTTCAAGGCTTTTAATAAGGGGTATGATTTTCCTTTGGTAACCGTTCATGAATTGTCTAGAGAAACAATTACTGGTGTTGTCCTAAAAGGTTAAGATGTGCCTCAAACATCCCTCTGTTTCTCCCTGGTTTTAGGCCACTTTATTTGGGCTGTTTGTTTCATGATGAGTTAATCTGATCTCACAGAGACAAGTGGAAACGTGCAGACCCAGAAGGCTGGCACCGCACCCCCCGCCCGGGCACCCTCCTGTGCGCTGTCAGATGCAGCGGCACCGGGGGTGGGGGCACCGGGCAAAGCGGCTTCTGCTCCCGGGCTCGCTCCTCGGAACCGCCACCCCCCAGGGAAGCTGGGGAGGACAGCGAGAGGCTGAGCTGTCAGTGTGCGTGGAGAGGACAGGGTTCCGAGGCCACAGCGCCTGGCGCTAAACGGTTAAATGGAGTTCTGAGACCTCGGGGTGGGAGGGCCGCGGAAGGAAGAAGAGAAATAGCAGAGCGAGCAGAGAATTGTGCCGGCAGTGGCCTGAGATTTATTTATCGTGCTTGCTGGTGGTTGAGCCCGCTCCGCAGCAGGCGCGGGCGGTAAATACACAGCCTGATTCATTAGTTTCTGACCATCTGCTGCCCGGGCCGCGGGCGGGGCCAGGCCGCCCTGCAGGTGAGGGAAGCACGGCGGCCGCAGCCAGGCTGCAGCCCAGGCCCCCAGCAGAGCCGGCCACGTCAGTCTTCCTGGTGACGGACAGGCCAGGCGCACCTGGGGCTGTGAGGGGTCTCATGGCCCCCAGTGGGGACCACCAGGAGGCTGGGCAGGGTGAGGGGAGATAAAGCAGGGGGACAAAGGAGAACTGGGAAAAAGGTGAGGTGTGGGTGACTCACAGCCATTGGATTGACAAGAGTAATATCAACACTCAATATGAGATATATGAACATTAATCAATTATATTAATAACTAATTAATATGATGACGATAATAACTATAATATAGCCAGCAGTTACTGAGGTCCAGACCCTATACAGAGGCTTCCCGATACTGTCCCAGATAAGCACACTAACAACCCTGTGATGGACGACGAGGGAACTGGGTTCAAAGATTGAGTCAGGCAGGAAGGGCTTCCTGGAGGAGATGCATAGGGGAGTGCTCTGAAAACCAGGAGGAGGGAAAGTGGCTGCAGGAGCACAAGCTCAGAGGTGAGAAGGACGAGGCAGCCTGTGAAAAGACGCAGCCTCCAGTGGTGTGTTGATAGGAGCTTCCCAGGTGGGCAAAGATGCATGCCGCCACCTGGTGGCAGCGTGCTGAGAAACCAGCCTCGTGGAGGAGGAGCTTCTGGGGGAACCCTCAAAGCCTCGAGGTTCAGACTGGCCCCTCTGAACCGTTCCTCCAGCCCAAGCCCACTTTCCTCACCTGTGATGAGGCATGTATGTTTGCTAGGGTCTGAGTGGCTCAAACAAGAGAGAGTTATTTTCTTACCGCTCTAGGGGCTAGAAGGTCAAGATCAAGGTTCGTGTGATCCATGAAGACCAAGGCAGGGCCTCTCCTGGGGCCTCTCTCCTGGGCTTGCAGATGGCCGCCCTTGTGCTGCCTGTTCACGTGCTCCTTTCTCTGCACACGCACCCTGGTGTTTCCGTGTGTGCACATTCCCTCTTCTTCTGAGGACACCAGCCAGATTGGGTCAGGGCTCGACCTCACGGCCTCGTTTTGGCTTAGTCACCCTTTAAAGGCCCCGTCTCCACATGCTTCAGTGCTCAAGGGGCCTTCCCTGCTGTGGGCCGACAGGGGGACAGGGAGGGGCCGTCCCTCACAGGTGGGGCTGCCTCCTCCAGCCCCGCATCCTGCCGCCCTCTTGTCGCCAGGCCCCACCTCTGCAGGCCACTGAGCCATCCCCATGGGGCCTCTCAGCCCCTTCCATTCAGGGGGCAGCCCAGGGTCCCTCAGCTGGAGCGCCAGGAAGCTCGGACCCCCGCAAGCTGAGCCAGGCCCCTCTCTCGCCATGTTGCCTGTGAGGTCACCCCTGAGGTTGTCTGGGACAGGAGCAGGCTCATCCTCAGAACCACGGCCCACTCTCAGGGAGGCCTGGGCCAGTCCTGGCTCACCCTGGGCCTCAGTTTCCCCATCTGCACGATGAGGAGTTGGACTCAGTGGTGCACCCCTTCCGCCCCAAGGTTTGCGGGTCCCATGAATCGGCAGGGCTGGGCGGGGTTGGGGGCAGTGGCACCATGGGGGCCGAGGGCAGGGCTTTTGTGGTCAGAGAGGGTTTTGTAGGACCTGCCTCAGTAAACCCTGAGGCCAGCCTGCCCACCGAGGAGCCCCGGGCGGCCCGGGAACTCGTCCTCCACGAACGGGCATGGAAGGCGGTGCCGGCGGGTGTGGCGGGGGGACCAGCTCATCTCCCAGGAGGCAACGCACCCACTCCCCGGGGGGCCGGATGGCTCATTTCAGAGCGAGGAACTTAACGCTGATCCAAGCCGGTTTGTCTGAGCAAATCGGAGACCTGACACGTCCCTCACGAAGGGCTGTGAGCGGTCTGGGGGCTGTGCCGCGCTTAGTGTGGGTTTGATTTTAATCAATAGGCTTAATTTTTTAGGGCAGTTTTAGGCTTACAGAAAATTGAGCTGACAGTACAGAGAGTTGCTAATACCCCCGTTTCCCCGCACGAGCCCCCCTGTTTCTACCGTCGTGCATCCGTGCGGTGCATTTGTACCGTTGCTGAACCGACACTGATAGTTGTCAGTTCCATGCGTACGTTAGGGTCCACCCTTGGAGTCGTACATTCCATGCATTTTCACAAATGTGTAATGTCGTGTATCCACCGTGACAGTGTCACACAGAATCGCTTCACTGCCCTAAAAGGCCCCTATGCTCCATCTATTCATCCCTCTGACCCCGGGCAGCCACTATGTTAGTGACATTTCCAGGCCTCCGGGTGAGTTCACACAGTGGACCAGACACGTAGAATGGATTTGAGCTGCGGTGGAGGGAAGCCACAGCTGGTCCCCGCTGGGCCCAGGAGCAGCTGCCAGCCTTCTGGGGGGAGCTGGGGGGAGAGTAAGTGGGTGGGGCCATGCCCTGCCTTCCTCAGCCAGTGTCCCAGGCCGGACCTGCCAGGCATGTGCCAAGGACCTGGAAATGACTTGCCACAAAGAGGCCCCCCCTTTGAGAGGAACCCCCAGACACTCAGCATCCATCCGGCGTGCCCGGACTCCGCAGGAGGCCGACACGCATGTGCGGGGCCAGAGACGGCTCTGCCTCAGATGGGCCGGGGTGTGGCTCCCGGCTCTTCCCAGCGGAGGCCTTGGGCAGGGGTCACCATCTTCCTGAGCCTGGGTTTCTTCCTCCGGAGCACAGAGATCATTGTCCCGCTGTGTGTGGGTGAGATGCTCAGTAGAAGAGAAGTGAGCTCATGAGGTCTGTAGATGAGATACTGTGCCTGGTTGTTCCACCGCTCCTGTTGGTACTCGTGGCATTGTTTAAAGGGTCAGGAAGGTGACTCGGTGTAGGAGGTGTTAGAGGCGAGAATGTGAGTAGGAATTTTCGAGGCGGAGAGTGGAAGGGCAGGTCGAGGAGAGGGAACACCATCTGCAAAGGCTCGGAGGCACAGACAAGCAGGGCTTGGAGGACAGGAGTGCTCAGGTGGGAGGCAGGGAACAGAGGCTGCAGGCATGGTGGGAGGGGGTCGGGGCCAATGTATTAAAAAATTGGGGCTTTATCCTCCAGGCAATGGGGAGCCATGGGGGACCGTGGGGCAGGGGACTAACACCCGTCCTTCTTGGTCGTCTGTATTTAGAGAGGAACGAGTGTGTGTTTTCTGGGGAGGCCACAGAATTGCCTGTCTTTACACACTTTGGGGAAATGGGTACAAATTACCTGCCCAGGAGACGCTTCCTGGGCCAGGACATCAGAGCACAGGCTCCGTGACCTCAGGGCAGACGCCTGGGCATGCGGTGGGGTGGGCTGGGCGAGGCTCCCTGAGCAGCCGGCGCCCACGTCTCTGGTCCTCTCCCCTGCAGGAAAACCCCTATCTGTGCAGCAACGAGTGTGACGCCTCCAACCCGGACCTGGCCCACCCGCCCCGGCTCATGTTCGACAAGGAGGATGAGGGGCTGGCCACGTACTGGCAGAGCGTCACGTGGAGCCGCTACCCGAGCCCGCTGGAAGCCAACATCACCCTGTCGTGGAACAAGAGCGTGGAGCTGACGGACGACGTGGTGGTGACCTTCGAGTACGGCCGGCCCACCGTCATGGTCCTCGAGAAGTCCCTGGACAACGGGCGCACGTGGCAGCCCTACCAATTCTACGCCGAGGACTGCATGGAGGCCTTCGGCATGCCGGCCCGCCGGGCCCGCGACCTGGCCGCCTCGGGCGCCCACCGCGTGCTCTGCACCGAGGAGTACTCACGCTGGGCCGGCTCCAAGAAGGAGAAGCACGTGCGCTTCGAGGTGCGGGACCGCTTCGCCATCTTCGCCGGCCCCGACCTGCGCAACCTGGACAACCTCTACACGCGGCTGGAGAGCGCCAAGGGCCTCAAGGACTTCTTCACCCTCACCGACCTGCGCATGCGGCTGCTGCGCCCGGCGCTGGGCGGCACCTACGTGCAGCGGGAGAACCTCTACAAGTATTTCTACGCCATCTCCAACATCGAGGTCATTGGCAGGTAAGGCACCTGGGGCGTTACCTGGTTCCTGGGATGTTATCTGACACCTGAGATGATGCCTGGTACCTGGGATGTTACCTGGTACCTGAGATGATGCCTGGTACCTGGGATGTTACCTGGTTCCTGGGATGTTACCTGGTTCCTGGGATGTTACCTGACACCTGAGATGATGCCTGGTACCTGGGATGTTATCTGGTTCCTGGGATGTTACCTGGTTCCTGGGATGTTACCTGACACCTGAGATGATGCCTGGTTCCTGGGGTGTTACCTGGTACCTGAGACATTACCTAATTCCTGAGATGTTATTTGATATCTCAGATGTTACATGGTTCCTGAGATGTTACCTTGTACCTGGGATGTTGCTTGATACCCAGCATGCTTACCTGGTACCCTAAACATTGCTGGTTCCTGGGATGTTATGTCAAGGGGCTGCCTACGATGGCCAGGGCTGCACAGACAAGATGCCTGGGTTTTTCCATGGACGGGGGTGAATGGTGGATGATAAACATTAAGCATCCTCGTAGGGCCCGGGCTGCCTCTGGCCAGGGCAGCGGGAGCCCTGGAGGGGATGAGTGGAGCTGGACGCTGTGGGCAGGGCTTCGGCGAAAGCCTCGTGTTCAGGACCTGCTCCGTAACTGTCCACTGACTCAATGAACGGGCGCTTGTGTCTAGCGGTCCCCAGGCCCATCCTCAGGCTCCGTGATTTGCTAGAAGGACTCATAGAACCCAGCAAAGCTGTTACGCTTGCCACCACAATGTATTACAATGAAAGGATGCAGATGAAAATTGGCAGCCGGAAGAGGTGCACAGGGCAGACTCTAGGAGCGACCAGTGCAGGTTCCCGGTCACCCTCTCCCAGTGCAGTCGCACACAGCACTTGATTCTCCCAGCAACGATGTGTGACAACACGTGTGGAGTGGTACCAGCCAGGAAAGCTCGCCAAAGCCTTGGTGTCCAGGGTCTTTATTGGGAATTGATCACTTAGGCACGGCCAACTGCCTGTGGGCTTGACCTTGGTCTTCAATCCCTGACCCAGAAGTCAAGCTAATGCTGCATGGTCCAAGGCCCCCACCATAGGTCCCATCATTAGCATAAACTATCCGGTGTGGCCCAAGGACCCAGGGAAACAACGACCCTCTTACCAGGTGGGACTCCCAAGGGCTCGGGGCTGCCCTCCCAGGAGCCGGTCAAGGCCAGGCTTTCCTTTGGAATATGCAGGATGTGCATAACCCACACCCGCAGAGTTAACCATTTGCCCAGCTTTGGAGGAAAATGTGTCTTGAGGACACTTTTGGGGGAGGCAAAAGACTGCCATCAGAGGGAGAAGCAGCCTTTGATGCCCAGGAACTGGCTAGACTGCGGATGACTGAATGGTTCCATGCTGGCCCAGATCACTTGTTCATTTGACACACAATGTGCTGGTCTGTAGGGGCAAGGACTTTATCCCTGAGCCACCTGTCTGACACCATGGTCTGCATAGGAGAGAGGCTTGGGGAGGCCCCGTCACTGAGTAACCAAGGGGTCAAGCATAAAGGGCAGTAGCAGGTAGTGCAAGAGTTCTCCAAGGGTGGTTCCTGGGCCGGCAGCATCAGCATCGCTTGGGAACTTGCTAGAAATGGAAGTTCTCAGGCTCCACGCCACACCTGCCACATCGCAAGTTCCAGGGGTGGGCCAAGCAGTCCGGGTTTTAACCAGCCCTCTGGGGGATTCTGACGCACACTTGGGTTTGAGAAGCGCTGGGGTGATTGTTGGGAGTGTGGACTCTGGAGCTGGACGGCCCGGGGTGTATCCCCAGCTCTGCCATCCACTAGCTGTGAGACTCTGGGCAAGGACTGCTCTGTGCCTCAGTTTCCCCCTCTGTAGAATGGGGTTGATAATGATCATGCCTCTCTCACTGGAGCATGGTGAGAGTTACGTGAGCAGGAGTGGGGCGTACGCAGGGCCAGGAGCGTGGCTTCGGCCGGTGTGGGCAGGGGGGCACCAGGGGCCCAGCTGGGACAACACGCCCTGGGTGCTTTTCCCCAGCAGGCTCTGAGGACGGCCGGAGTATATAATTACTGAGGAGCGGAAAAAGCACGGCTGCATGGTGTGTATGGTATAATCCCATTTTGTAAAATATATAAGACGCCTGTGCGCGTGATTTCTGCGTCTTTAGTGGACATTGGAAAGTGGTCCGTCCGGGCACAGGAAGGTACCACGGATACAGGGAAAGGCTGGAAGCTGGCGCCAACCCATCACTGTGGGCACGCCTGCGAGTGGGGCTGGGCGGGGCGTGTGGAGCCCCCGTTTTCAGCTCGCATCTGTGTTTTATTTCACTTTGTGTGTGTGGATTGCAGGTGGGCCAAGGGGAAGGCAGGTGGTCCAGGAGGCAGGTTCAGGTTCAAGTGTGGCAGGTGGGGGAGAGGCAGGTGCTCACGCAGTGCCTGTGGTTCTGACGTCTGTGATTTCTACCCCACCCCCCACCCTATTTGCGGTGGGATATTTTAAATCAGGAAGGTTCTGGAAACCACCTGACATATAGCCCCTGTTCTGGAAGCCAGGGGTCAAGAATCGGATTCCTATGGTTGTTTCTCTGACCCGTGTCCAGACTTTGGGCCTCTGGTCATCCTGGTGACCTCTGCCTGCCCTCAGGATGCAATGGTCTGGTCAGTATAAGACCCCTCCTCTGCCCCAGAGTCCCTCTCACCTTAGCTGCTCAGGGGTGGGGACCAGATCCCCACACCTGGGGGCAGCAGCCCCTTTTCTGACCTGCCCTGGGCTGCTCCAGGGGGCCCCTCATCTTCAGGAGGCTGATCAAGGGCCCACCTTCCACTTCCTTAGGCGGCTCATGTGGGGTGCTGATGTCTGGGGGTGCTGCAGGGTCTGGGCTGGGTGGTGACAGTCAGGGCCTGTGCCCCGTGCACCTTGGGGGTGAGGGTCGTCTGTCTCATAGGAGAGACTCTGAGATGCAGAAGTGGGGCGGAACATGTGCGGGAAGGGCCAGAGGGGGTGAGAAAGAGCCTCAGGTCTTCAGTCCCACCCAAATCAGGAAGATGCTGGGGCCGCGGGAGCTGGCTTCCAGACCTGCCCCTCTGCGCATCTCTGGGCCTCGGTTTCCCATCTGTAAGGTGAGAACTGGGGCCACGGGGAGCCTGTGTCTCCCTGGCCAGGTGGCAGGGCAGTCCCTGCTCAGCAGCTCATGGCTCCCCTGGCACCCAGCCCCTGCGGGCAGTGGAGATTAGCCAGTGCGTCAATCAATTCACAGCTGGAGTAAGTACTCTTCTACTCTTCGGGCGGGGCGGCGTTGGCAGGAAGGCGGCAGCTTGGCTTACCGATTAAGTGGATCTGGTTGGATGGTTCAGCAAAGAGCTGTGACTTCCTCTGCTTTTCCTTTTTAAATCTCGGGTGGGAAAGCCCCGCTGTGCCGGGCAGCCAGAGAGGCAGGACGGGGTGGCAAAGGCAGCATGGGGCTCAAGTGATGCCTTTGACGTTCCTGAGTGGGCACTTGGGGACCCCCAGGGGTTCTTAGATTTGAGACTTCAGGCTGCACTGGTTCTAGGAGACCCTCAGAATTTCATGACCCAGGGTTGCACAGTGCCTCCCCCATAGTTTGCTAGCATAGCTGATCTTTATTAAGCGTGTGCTATGGGCTCATTTCCTATTGAGCACTGAGCTAGGCTTCATGTGCGTTTTCTTATTTAATTGATAGTCATTTGATTCCACAATGGTTATTGAATCCCCAAGATCCCACAAGCCGAGGATATGGCATTGAGCAAGCCACACCTGATCCCCACCTGGTAGAGCTTTCCTTACAGGGACAGTGCTCCCCTCTGCCTTGTGTTTTTAGATGAGGTCAGGGAACATAAGGAGGTCATACAATTAAACTAAACCCCAGATAGCCAACATCCAACGTAAGCATGTCCCAGCTCAAGTCCATCTCTACACGGGGTTATCTCACTGGCCTCCCCTTCTGAATACAGGGGTCTTTGATACTGTAGTTACTTCCACTCTGTCATTAATGTCAGCTATTTCCAACTTCAAGGGGGAGCCAGGAGGTGGGGTGGGGGGAGGCAGAGGGCAGAGGCACTTGGCTGCCGGGGAGAGGAAGACCGCAGTGGGAGAAAGCCCAGGGCTCAGGGAATGAGGAACTAGTATAAATTGGGGGGGGCAGGGTAGGAGTGAGAGGAGGGGCAGACTGAGCGGCAGCCCCATGGAGGGAAAGCGAGGGAGCAGCCCCCAGCACCTCGAGACCTCTGCCCTCACCAGCCTCGCCTCCCTGTGGGTCCTGGCAAAACCACCTTCCAGTCCCGCCCACTCAGGGTCTGGGATGGAGAGAAGAGGGCGTCCTGCCCCCTTATTCACTCTCATTCGTAGACGGCAGGAAGGCGAGGGAGCTATTTTCTCCTTCCGCACCCCGAGGTGGGGGGCTCAGGTGCAGAGCGGGAGAGGTGCTGGCTGTACCTGGGCAGCGAATCCGGGGAGCCACCCAGATTGGAGGAGGAATACGATCGCCCCTTTGCTGTGCTGGGAGCAGAGACAGCCCCCACCTCCACCCCAGCACAGCGGTCCAGAGCAGCGAGGCCCAGACCCGGCCAGCATCACACAGGGCTGCCTTTTAAGAGGATGGGATCCCCAGCCCCACCACCAGGAGCTCTGGAGCCCGTCAGCGTGGGGCGAGGTCCAGAAAGCCGTCTCTTGGCAAAGGGCCTCTAGCGAGTTTGAGAGGGGGGAACCTCCAGGTAGAGCCTGCACTTGGGCCTCCTTAGACCAACCAGCATCTGAGTCCCAACTCCATCACGGATTAGCTGGGTCCCCTTCACCTGCCTGAGGCCCAGTTTTCTCATCTGCGAATTGGAGATAGAGTAACGACATCACCAGCTCATGGTGAGGATTCAGTGAAACACTATGTTTGAAGAGCTTGTCCCAGTGTCCCATTCCGCTGGCTAGTGGCAGGAGGGGTTAGGGAGAGAGGCGGGGGGCCAGGGCTGCCTGCGTCAGAGCTAAGATTCTGGAGCTAAGAA